TGTATGTGGCTGGCGCCTTAGCCGCTTGAGCCACAGGCGCCGAGCCTCTTCTTTTTTTCAATATTTCCTTTTACTCACCCCCTCTCCTTTTTCTTTTTATCTTTAAAAAAAAAAAAAAAAAAGCAAGCACATACTCTATAAAGGATTCAATTTCAGGGAAAAAGCCAGATCAGAAAAGAAAGGAGATGGGGAAAGGTAAGACTGGAAAGACAAAAGAATAAAGGCCTCCAGTGCCCTTCTCAGCACTACTAAAGCCAGGAGCCCACACTCAGCCTCTGACCCCTTTACGATAAGCAAGTGTCTTGGAGTCTGGCCACATGGATAGGGGAGAGGGTAGGGGATAGCAGTCCTCCAGGAGCACCAGTTAAGCTCCCACCCCTACTGCTGACTCTTGGTTCCTACACTGAGGCATTGTAAGGCTTCCTACACAGAGGTCTGGCCTCTCAGAAAACAGGCTAAACCAGGAATATCCCTGTTCCTGTCCTTTGGGCCTAGCAAGCCCAAGAAGTCTGACTCTCAGGTCCTCCTCCCCAGTTAAAGGCATTATCAGATACCAGTCTGTGGCCCCCATCTCCCACAAGAAAAACCCTCTGCTAACCCTAACCATGCCCTCAACCCCCCCTGGGCTCCAGTGAGCACAGGGTGACTATTAGCTGAGTAGCAGTGCACGTTCCTATGGAGGCTCCTCATGGGCCTGCTCAAGACCCACCTAAGGCAGCCATCAAGGAGAGGACAGTTAAACCTAAGCATAGAGACGATGGGGGTCCTGGGGTAGGGCAGAGCCAGAGCTTCTAGGAGATGGGAACAGACCTAAAATCTAAAACAGAGAGGCTTACAGGTGCTGAAACCCTGTTAATACCCAATCCAGCATCCCAAAATTCTGGCCAGGATGAGAGTTGGCAATATGAGCACAGCTGGGTTGGCAGAGTATCCTGCTCTCCAGCCTCCTGCCTAGTGTCTAGGTGTGCCAGTCAGCCTATGGCCAGCAGCAGGTGGCTACGTTTCATGCACACTGGCTGTAATGGACAAGATGTGACGCTTTGGGGGGGCATTAGTCCTGCAATGGGTGATGGAGAGGAAGCCAATGAGCCAAGACTATTGGAGGAACATCAGGTACCTGGTCCCATGTAGCCCACACAACTGGAAGGGTGTAGAAAGTGTGTACTGGGAAGATATCCCTAGTGAAGAGATGAAAAGAAGGAAGACATTCAGACTGGAGGTGGCTTGGGTAGAGGGCATGACCGAGGTGACTATTGAAGTGAGAAAGTGAGATGCTGGGTGGTGCCTGTGGCTCAAAGGGGTAGGGCACCGGCCCCATATGCCAGAGGTGGCAGGTTCAAACCCAGCCCTGTCCAAAAACTGCAAAAAAAAAAAAAAAAAAAAAGAAAAGAAAGTGAGATGCTTTGAGAGATGGTACAGAGCTAAGGCCCAAATCAGAGTGTAATGAAGTCAACCTGAGCTCCGCTCCCTCTGCACACAAAGGGCCAGTAACTGCATATTCTTTGCCTAAATACTGTTATGGCTGACAGCATCATAAACTGCATCAGGTCATCACCCACATACCCACACCCCCACGCTGAGTGGACATGCAACTGCACCAGGGACCACACTGCTGGGCCAAGTGCTATATACCCTGCTCAAGCTTGGCTTGGTCTCCAACCTTGGCTGCCCAGGCTGTGGGCTGCAGGTCATGGTGCTCTGCTGGGCATCAGTCTGCTCATCTTCAAGCATCAAGCAGGACTTCAGAAGTGAAAATGCAGGGTGGTGTCTGTGGCTCAAGGAGTAGGGCCCATATACCAGGGTTAATGGGTTCAAACCTGGCCCTGGCCACAAAAACTGCAAAAAAAAAAAGAAAAAAGAAAATGCTTGTGAACTATAAATCCCCTATGCTTAACCATTTGGGGGAAAATGGAAACCCAAGACAGGCCTCTGAAGCAATCTGCAGAAAGTGAGCTTTGCTTGTGGACAGTCACAGGAAGCTGTTGGAACATAAGAGGATAATAGTCTCTGAATTTTTTTTTTTTTTTTTTTTGAGACAGAGCCTCAAGCTGTCCCCCTGGGTAGAGTGCCCTGGCATCACAGCTCACAGCAACCTCCAACTCCTGGGC